GGGACGAGTTCTCTGGCTATTTTCCTGTTTGATTTTTGTGTGTGTTTTGTTTTAAGCAGGACAGAGTGCATGTGTGTATGTAATCCATGTGCTCAATTAAGAGAGGCATCTGTTGGGTTTATTTCACATTGCCGAGGAAGGACTGCAAGCAGGGAGCATCTGCTCGGCTTTTTGTCAATGGCTTGTTTTTCATCGTTTGCTCTACAGGGTGAATGTTTGGGGAGGGGGAGGTGGGTTTTATTTCTGAGTTTCGTCTTAAACTTATTTTAATGGTAGCCAGGGAAATTGGCTGGGATTTGAAAGTTATTTTTTTGCTAAGTAAAGAACTGAAGAGGGAGAATCAAAACCAGCCAAAGTAAATAGTATTCATGTAACCTTAATAACACATGCAGAGGGACCCTTATAAGCCATTAGTTGCAGTATTTTAGTGACAAAGTAAAAATAACCACACCAGTGAGGTTTCTGTTTTGTATTTCTTAAAAAAACAAAACAAAACAAAACAAAAAACCAGCAAATTTTGGTTAGATTTTATTTTGGAGAGAGATAGGGAAGGCATCCAACACCAAGATGCTTTTTTTGGCATTTTGTCAACAACATCAATAAAAAAAGTCTGTTTTTAAAACAGAGCAGCAGTGGTTTCCTGTTCTTACAGTTTTTGCTTTTGTGCATTCAGACAGTGGCTGTATTGCACCTAGCTGATCTAGTGAGAGGTTTAATTGCCTGTGGCTCTGTGTGCTTCAAAGGCTACTGAACCTGCTGGGAGTGTTTTATGTGAGTGTGCTTTTTACACTTTTTTGGAGGGAAACATCCTTCAAAAGGGCTCTGGAGGCTAATGACTGTGATGCCCTGGGAGGACATGGCTGCTGGTGTAGCCCAGGGAATGCAGGAAGAGAAAGCCTGAAATGCCTCCTAATCCCACAAGTAAAGGCAATTCTTACCCATTGCAATCCAACAAACAAGGATACCATCTTGCATTTGTAGATGCAGATGCTGTGCAAGAGTAACGTGAGCAGGGCAAGATGAGGGGTTTACTGAAAGTATTTCAAGAAATAGCATTAAAAAAATAAGTAATAATATCTTGTTCTGTAAGTGAACCCAAAGGCAGCACATTTATTAAGCCACTTTTCAATGGTATTAAATCTGAATCTTCCATGCCACAAATTGTCATAGAAGAGGAAGAATGAAGTGTTAATAAAAGTAACTTTCCTGACAGTTCAGTCCCACTCCATAGTTAGAGAATACGTATGTGTATATATAATTTAAATATTATATAATATTACAATGTAAATATGTATAATTTTTCTGTCAGAAACAGCTGAACAATTTTGTTGATATCGGTTAACTGTTATAAAAGCAGCTGATAGCAGTTGTTGTGCAAAATGTAAATGCAGGGCTGACTGCAGGAAGCAGGCAGACAAGCTGACTTTCAGGGCTTCAGGTAACCTTGCCTGTCACAGAATCATGGAACCTGAAGCCTAAAAGGACAAACCACAGTAAACTTCATGGTAGCAGGAAAGTATTTTCATTGCTTGAAAAAAAAATAAAATTCAAACTTTGTCATCACATTAAAAACATTACATGAGAAGTAATAAACATATTTACATTTCTGTTTTGATTATAAATATACATTATATACAAAATAATGTTATAAAACGTAGAAAGTTCAGTGCTTCTGATTTTTTTTTAAATTACTGAAATACTAGTCTTCAAAATAAACTACAAACAGACAAACTAAAACCCATATTATTGATTTCTGAAGGTCATCTTCAAAATGGTCCTATGTGGTCAGAGCAGAAGGTCAGTAGTGGACATTATGAAAGGGGTCTTGTCTGCACAGTTCAAGGCAGTAAATGGGCTAGTCCAACAACAGGATTTACAAGAGCAGGAACGTCGCTGTCCAAGAGAGCATGGTCCAGGTTTCTTCAAAGAGATCTTGTTTCCTCCCTCCTCATTCTGCCCCACCCCACGGTCTCATTAGTGTCACAGCACTTTCCACTGGGGTGTCCGACATTATTGCTGTAAATATGTATATAAGAAAAGAGCTTCTCCACGCCTCTGGTTTCCTGGGGCAGGCTCCCCCTTTTCCATGTGGCAGTCAGTAGGTATGAAAGAAACAGGGCAAGCCTAGAACCTTCTAACTCTAATCTCCACCTGTCTTGGCAGAGGGCATCTCAGTGGGTGCTTCGCTATTGGGCATTTGGAACCGGGATGAAGGACAGGAGTTGGAGTTTAGCAACCAGATGGAAAAATGGGGGGGGGGGCCACACTGCTCCTTCTTCAGAAAGTAACAGCTGCAATTTTGAGACTATTTGCAATAGAAGGTGGCACCTAATTCAGAAACACGACATAAACCTCCAAATTTGTGTTAAAATAAGGCGGGGGGAGGGGGAGGAGAATGAGGAAGGAGAAGAAAAAAGTAACGTCTATTCACAATCACTGGTAGTGCAAAGGGCATGAAAACAGCTGAGACAGCTCAGCACATAAAGGTTCCAGGAGCTGATTGATTTCAAACGCATTTGTAAGGCTTTAAACAGAGCTGGGATCACACCTCCTCCTCATCAATGGGGAAGAGGCAGGACACATTCCTTATTACAAATTTTCCTTCTTGAAATGTTTAAATCCACAAAAATCCTGTCCTATCTTGTGGCTTGAGTCAATCAGATCTCCAAAGCATCACCAAATGAGATTACATGTAAATTTGGTATTCCTCTTTCCTTCCTCCTCTCACCCCTTACACCAGCTCCAGTCCATGCAGCAGGAGAGAGGAGATGCAAATAGGTGTGTAGCAGGAAGTATCAATCATCCCTACCCAATACTGTTCAGGTAACTGCAAAAAGAGCAGTCAAGTCTCTGTTTGGGCTTGTTAGATTCTCTTGACACATTTTAGGCACTTTTTAACCCAGAAAAAAACACTGAGACCTCGTTTATACTGTATCCATTACCAGCATAGCAATGTGTCTTTCTTCACACCTTCCATGGCAACATCTGTGATAGTTAAGTGCCTCCTCATCTACTGGCACCTCCCATAACCAAAGTTCTGGAAAGCCAGGGTTCTGTCCATGAGGAACTGGCCTCAGTATCTTTAAAAAACAAATTAAAACAACAACATTTTAAACCCCTCTCTCTTCCCCTCTGCCTCCCCTCTTCCATAGCCAATGAGATTTCTGGTATCAAACTTCAAACAAGGGCAGTAAGAACACAAAGGTGTATTGCATCTTTCAGTAAATTCACAGTCTGTCCAGTTCACCCAGTTCCATCCTCCGCCTGAGAGCAGCAAGTTGCATGTAATTAAAAACAGTCCGATCCAGTTCTGAATTGTAAACAATGCAGCAGGAACGTCCATCTACTGGCATTAGCAAATCTGAGGTGCAAATGGGCTGATCTTCAGTCTTATACCTGTCAAGATATAAAATAATACCAGGAATGAGAAGGGTGTGCAGAACTAACAAACTGGACTTCAAGTTATGTCAAACCAAAGCAATGTAGGCCACACATTTCTGCAGTGCAACTATCAGCGTTCAGTGGTTTTGTCTGGGTCCGGAGACAAGGAGTCACCAGCAAAAAAAGTTGTCTATATGATGAGTAGCCTCTCTGCCTGGACTGAGGGAAAGCATGCTTTCCCTCAAAAAAAAGCAGACGGTATAGTTAAATAGCTTGTGTGCAGAAGCATTAAGCCTGAATGATGTGGAGACAGGTTTCAGGAGCTGTCGTTCTGAAAATAAAAATAATTCTCAAGATGCCCGATGTAAACCTGGGATTCTAGCTTTGGTGAGCAAGATCTTCAAAGGAAGATACAGTATTTAGGTCAGTTAATAGGAATGAAGCGTCTAGCTGTCATTTGTATCTTTGATAATCCTTTCACTTAGTCTTAAACTTTGAATATTGCTGGTTGACTTGTGTTGCAGCTTGCCTTCAAGAGGAAAACTGATATCTGCCCTGGTAAGGCAGAAAGAATCCTGCAGATCTGACTCCACAGATCCCTGCTGCGTGGCACAGCAAGCTTCTCTTTCCTGGTGTCTGAAAACAGTCGTACAGATGGCTATGCTGAAGAAGGCAGGTATTGGTTAATGTCAAACTGCCTTTAATTTTCACTGAGTCTTTTCCAAAGGGTCAGTAATTCTCCAAAACTGGTTGGTTCCTCCATAGCTGCTTTTTAAAGACTTTCAAGCTCAATGCTAGGCCCTTCCTTTTTCCTGTATCCGTCCTCTGGCTTTCCAAAATAACATCAAAATCCAGACGTGTTTATCAATAACAGCATTAACTTAGGTTAGAGATTATATAGCTGGAGCTTAAATGCCAAGAGGTTGAAATTATCACAGTCTTATTACAGACTTCCTAAATGGCTGTTACACCTATACACTTACACATTCAGCTACCTTCCATCTTCTGCTGGAAAACTATGGTTTTGCCTGTTTCCCCAGAACACAGATTATCCGTTGCAATAATGGGAAAAAACATGGGTTTCCATCAATGGGCTTGTGCATTATTACAATTCCTATTTTTGCTGACTAACTATTTAAGAGAAAATAATCCTACAATGTACTGAATTTTTATGGGCTGATGTTCTATGCTTGCATCTCCTGCTGACTTATCTAAGCTCAACATTTCTGGTTTAATAAAACCAGAGCTGCTAATTTATTTTCCCCACTGTATGTTCCGTGTGGGCCACGGAAGAGGAGGCGAAAGCTGGGAAGCATCCCTGGAAATAGAATAAACTTCTCGGATGCAATTCTAAAGGATAACTTACCCCTTCACTTTGTGAATTTATGCCTGTTCACCTGTGTGTGTACTTACCTCTGTGGCTATGATGCACTCATTCCTCTCCTCTGTTATCACGAAGACGGACTGGTACATCGAATCCCTCGGAGAGCATATCGCTGATATCCTACATTCTGGCTTTTCACTAATGCAGGACAGAGAGAAAAGTACGTTAGTTGACTGCTAAGAAGCCTGACTCTCAAAACCTACCATGAATATGGAGGGGTGGAATGAGATAGCTGTGAAGGTGTGGGAGGGAAGTGCAGAAGATGAAGTTTCACGTGTTCTATATGATGGCAGGACAACATACTAGAAAAGCGGAAGTATGAAACAGCTACTATCTTCCTATGCTTCTGCCATGGCTAACCTAACAGCATGCTCATCAAATCCCTCAGTGAAACAGCCACAGGCATATCCCAGACAAGACTTTCAGTACACGTATCAGAAGTGCCATCACTCACTGATAAGCCAGTGAATACCTGCCTTTTTTATATACATAAAAAACAGTAATTACTTTTACTCTATCATTCTTCTCAGTAAGCAGGTAATTTTGTCTTTTTAATAAGTGAAGTACTTATTTCTACTCACTACACACCTGGGCTGTTGTTCCTCAAAAATGTATTGAGGAAAGAATGGCAGTTTTTACTCCCACCACTGACCTAGCCAGTCCTGCTCCCCTTCACAGCACCCATATTAGCAGCACCCTGCACAACACATGCAATGTAACTGAGGACAGCACTTGGCCGTGACACACACACTCCAGGTATGAAGATTCCTGGCTTTGCTCTGGTTTGAAGATTTATCTCCTTGAGGTTTCTTTTTTCCCCATATTTTATCATTTGCTTCTAAACTGGCATGAAGATGAGGAGCCTTAAGAAAGACTGGAAGGAGGAAGGCATTCTCACCTGTGTAGTCGGAGGGGAGACTTCTCTCCTAAACACTTTTCACTTTTGTAATATTTCTCTTCCTGGGTCCCTCTACTTGTCAGGTCTTTTACCAGATTGTAGTCCAGTTTATGATTCTTGGGTTTGTAGTTTGATTTCTCCAGCCCACAGTCCACTTCGAGGTCTTTATTTTTATTGGTGTTTTTGAGCTGGGAAGCTGGAATGAGATTGTCCTTCTGGAAGTCAGACAGGTTGTTCATTGTCTCCAAGTCCTGCTCTGGGTGCATCCTCATCTGCCTGATGACCATTGCTATCATGCAGAACAGTATGAGCAAAGCCACCAGCCCCACCCCCATGGATATAGCAATCCAGGGGACTGGTTTAGGAGGAAGTGTAACGGGCACTGAATAAACTGGCAATTCACAACGGTTGCCCATGAAGCCAGAAGGACAGTAGCAGACAAAGTTGGCACTATAAAGTCCGCTGTAGCATGTGCCTCCATTCTCACATGGCCCAGAAGCACATTCATCTCTGGTTTTGATGTCACAGTTCCTACCACTGTAGCCTGGCAAGCACGTGCAGGTGTAATCGTTGATCAGGTCGTGACAAGTTCCCCCATTGGAACATGGGTTTCTGGCACAATCATTGATGTTTATCTCACATTTCTGACCAGAGAAACCAGCCCGACAACGACACACGCGAATCTGACCAAGGTAAAAGCAATTACCATCTGAGGAAAAAAGCAAACAAAATAAAGAAAATTAGTCTGCAACACACTTCACTCAGAAACATAAACCTCTCCCCAGTTAGCATTTTATACTGCCTCAAGAAGAGGGAGGTTGTTTTCCAAAACAACTGCGCATCTAAAGGTTTCCTCTGATTTAGCTCATTGCACCACCATGCCTTAAAAACATGCCCCTTCTAAACATGTAATAGTTAATTTAATTTACTAAATTCTGCCATCTTCTCCATCACATGATAAACCTTGAGCATTGTTTTGTTGCATAGCAAGTGCCAGTGAAAGCCTCCTCCCCCAGCAAGAGACCCAAATTAGGGTAGATGTGGAATGCAGGGCGGGAGAGGGAAGAGTAGAGGTCAGATTGGATTTCTATCACTTCTGCACTGAAAAGCACAAACAAGTCAGAGACACGAGATCTTTTTTTACAAAAAAGACTCACCATTTGCACACGGGTTGCTTGTGCACCTGTCTACTTTTTTTTCACAGTTTGACCCTGTGAAGCCAAAAGGGCAAACGCAAGTGTAGCTGGCCCCTTGCTCTTTTTCCAAGCATGTGCCACCATTAAAGCACGGAGAATCCACGCAAGTCAACGCACTGTGCTCACAGTGAGTGCCATAGTAGCCAGGGGGGCACAGGCAGTGATAACCATTCTCCATATCCTGCAAAACACAACATGAGGCCACAGTTACTTGATGCTGACAAATAACAGCTCCTTGCACGCTTCTTTCTGGTCAGCAGTGAGGGCTGTTCTGTCCCTCACACCCACACTCTGATGTGGCAAAAGTGACATTTGGGGAGTAAATAACTGCTGGCTGGACTGCGAGGGACAGAGCTGTGAACCAACCATACTTGGCACATAGGAGTAACCATGCAGGTCCACAAGCAGAGCAGGTGCAGCTGTAGGAAGCCTACAGGCAACTAGGCAAAAAACATTACAAACACCACTACTGCCTAATGGAATCCCTAAAGTTCTCCCCAAGCAGAATGGCACGTGTCAACCCACACAGCTGTGATCAGGCCATTCACCCTTGAAATGAGTGCCCTTTTTCTTTACATGGGCTTACATTGCTTCGCCATAGGTAAGTCCCACTACTTTGATCAAAACGAAACTGTCTGGTCTTTCCAAGAAGAAAGAATCCAAGGCCTTGGAAGATGAGATCTAGGGTCTTGGGCTATTAGCTTTAAACATGCATCAGACTACATTTGATATCTATAATCAATTGATCTTTATCAACAGGCAGAATCAATCATTGACTGGGTCTGAAAACACACTGAAACACTAGACTGCAGGAAATGAAGAATGCAGAAGCCTGTGTCACAGAAAGTGCTTCAGCTGATTGTCCTCATATTGTCTGACTAGTGTCACGCCCGCAGCAGAAACCCAAAGTTTTCTTTTATTTGCCATTAAAATACAGAGTTGGCACATTTCTTGGTTTGAGAAGCTTATTTTTTACAGATCTACTCCCTCACCAGCCTTGGATCTTGCCAGCCTCTCATAATGGCTGCCACAGAAACCTAAGGATCAGTTGACTAGTTCTAATCTAGGTGATACATCTCCTCCTGTAACAGACTTCCTCCCCTGACACCTCTCGGGAAGGGCTCAGGATGATAGTTGTGAGCCTCAGCAATGCACCTGTGTGCTATCAAATTCCCATTATGCTGTTACAGAACCACATCTGAAAAGGAATACCGGGGCTTGCTTCACACGAGGACTTTACATTTGAAATGCCCTCACCGTGCAGCTACCGCCGTTCCTGCAGGGGTTGCTGTCACACTCGCTGATCTCGTGTTCGCAGTCCACACCGGTGAAGCCAGGTCTGCAGGAACACGTGTAGCTGCCCTGGCCAGTGTTCATGCAAGTTGCTCCGTTTTTGCAGGGCCTGTGGTGGGTGCAGTAGTTCAGATCTGCAAAGATACCAGGAGTTAGAGAAAATGTCTTTGGACAGCTGGGAAAAGACGTTCAAACAAAACCACTTTTGTCAATAAAAAAGACAGAATTTTCCATAAAGTATTTCCATCACTGTAATCCATGGGCTCTGAATTTTGAGAAACACAGCAAAATTTTAAATTTCTCTATGGTTTGGTACACTCTGCCTCTTTTGTGTGCATAAACCCATGAGCTGCAACAGGAGGTAGATGCCAAGTTGGAAAACATGGTTCCTAAGTGTATGTTCTCTGAAAAGCAAGCCAGGGCGTTTGAGGCACTTTGTGCACAACGAGTCACACCTCACTCACACAGTGAGACCCATCTTGAAAAGGTGTGCTCTGAGGCACGTCGTGGGGAGTGAAGGAAATAAAAGATGGTTTTGCCTGGAGATTTAAACAAACACTATGAAGTCTTTTATTGTTTATTTACCATACTCTCTTGTTATGAATGTTAGTAGTTTAAACTGTCTAAACTATCTGCCAAGCTGGACAGCCCTTTTTTTTTTCCCCCCTTTAAATCTGAGACAGAGGTTAAGCACACTAGTTCATAGGACATAAGCAGAAAATCTTTATTAGCTCAATAAATACCATAGAGTAATTTGAATACAACTGGTTAATAGATAACTACGAGCAGAAAAAAATCTGCAACTTTACTTTCCCTGCTTAATTCCGACTTCACCATCTTAATCCTATAACTGTCTTGAAAACACAGCTTGCTTTGAGCACTTAATGATCTCAGTGCCAGCAGTGCATATATGGCCTTGAGGACATGACTGCTCAGCTGGCTACGGTTCAGTGATTCAGTGGGTTGAATAGGTGGAAGTGGTCTGGTGTACCTTAAAATGGAACCTGTACTTTTCATTCTTGCTTACATGATTTTTCTCTCATGCTCCAGACTTATCACATGAGTTAACTTCCTTGCATGCAAAATAAGGAAGGCCCAAATGATGGTGTTTACTGCTACTGGAAACTGTTTAGTAAATTGTTATAGTTGTATAGGGAGCAAGTTAAACTTAGCTTGAACAGGCAAAAAAACTTGCCTGTTCAATAGTCATCCGGGTGACTGTTGTGGTTTTTTTTCCAGGATGAAAACTGCAGGTGCCAAAAAGGTTTGCTTGTTTCCAACCAAAATTACTACAAACATTGGTCTGTAAGACACCCGTGGTACAAACTCAACGCCCATGAACATGAACCTTGTGGAAATTTAAGGCCAGATCCAATGGGTCAGAATCTTTAGTCCAGTACTGAGGAATGCCCAATCTAGAGCCATAAGCACAGCCTTCAGAACTAACCTTGATCACAGAAGAGGCCACCCCATCCTTCATCACATATGCACTGCCATTGTGTTTTACAAGTCCCGTGGCGGCAGCCTATGTGGGGGATGCATTCATCGCAGTAGCGGCCCTGCCAGCCGGGGCGGCAGCTACCAGAAAAGTCAAATTAAAACATTAATGACATGGAAAAGAGTTTCAGTTTCTGTTACAAGGCGACGTTTTAACTGAAGTTCAGATTGCAATTGCCATCTACTTACAGGCACTCTCCAGGCTTGTTGCAGTATCCGTTTTGTTCAGTGCATCCAGACAGGCAGATGGCTACAAAGAGAACACAAAAAAGCAGAAATGTTTAGATAGGTACACATGGCAGCACAGAACACACTTTTTGCAGGGGAAATGCCAGCTTTTTTTAAAAAAATTATTATTATTTTGAAAACCACCTTCGCACTTCTAAAGCTTTATTTAAAAAATTCTCAGTATGGGGAGTTCTGGGGCAGGAGGAAGCGAGCAAGGAGAGCCAACATTTGACAAGTTGTCCTTTAGTTTTTCAGTTTATACAACAAACATGAACTCCTGCAACTCTTGCTAGGAAAGGAGCAAGAGGAGGCATCTCTGACTTGTGGGAACGAGAGACGGAAAAAACCCAAATGGGAGCCCTAAGCCCACAGTAAAGATTCCCACTTCTACACCACACCTGCCTCCTCTCCTCTGGCAGCAGGAAGGGTGGAAGCATTTGTGTGGGCAAGCTGCTAGCACTTTAACTTGGAACAGATACTGCCGATTCAGGGATATCCGCCAAGAGCCTTTCCCTGCTCGCTTCTCCTTGGCTGCTAATGCTCGCAGAGGTGAAGCACAGCACCGGCAGCTGCAGCCAACGGGGGCAAAGTCCTCAGCGTGGGGCTTGCTTGGTCTCTCGGGGCAGGGAGTGGGAAGGTCAGCATGATGACATGGCCCAGGGTGCCTGCCGGGTCACCCCGCACGACGCTTTGTAACAGCAAAGCGCTGTTGAAGCCACCGTGTTCTAGGGACCCGCCGCAAGGACAGCTACAGCCAGGGTCGGCTCACCTGGCAGAACCGGACAAGGGGACACGTTTTGGGGTCCCCTTGGACAAACGGGTTCCCTCCTGCTGCCGCGGGGCTGGCACTTCCCCTGAGGCCTCCAGGGCACCTCACCCCGCGGTACCTGGGGAGGCCGGAGCGGCTCCTACCCCTCCATGCACGGAGGCCTCCGGGAGCTTCACCGGCCCGCCCGACGCCCACTAAAGCCCCGGGGGGGCGAGGAGGGCAACATTATCCCTTAACCCCCTGCTTCGCGCTTCCCTTGCCGCCCGGCTACTAATTCCTGTGCTGAGTAAGAGCTTACTGAACCGAATTGTTCCACAGTAGATTCCCCCTCGAATCCTAAGTTTTGTGTTCCACCTATTCAGAGAGCTGATGGACAGGAATGTCCTCTTCAGTAGCATGTGGCCTGATGTTTATTCATTCCCACAAACGAGGATGTCAATATGGTCTAGTTTGATGTCTATTCATCTGTGGCTTATTTACTCTAGAACTGCTTATTTTTCTAGCAAGCTTCTGTTTTGCAGATGCACAGAACTCACAAATAAACTTGCTCAGGTACATACACAGCATTGCCTCAACCCCACCTGGCTTTCAACTATTATTTTTTTCCAAGTGTCTTACATTACTTATTCATAAAGCTCCTTAGAGAAAACAATGCTGTCTGCATTGGTTAAAAATCAGGAATGTCCACTCTTTAAGTATAACTTTAAATTAGTTCTCAGAGCCCCTTTTACCACCATCATGCCATTAGCCCACATATTAATGCAACAGCAAAATATAATAGGCTTCAATCCATGTCTCTACCAATTTTTATTCCTGCCAATAATTACTTTCATCTGTACCCCAGTCCACCCAAATGTCCAAGCAAGACACTATTTATAAAAAAACACCCCATCCTTGAATATTCTGTCAAGATTCGAAGATTATTTGCATATATCTAAAGCAAAATCAATATTACAATTTATTATTGAAAGAAAGGCATAAGACAATTCAGTAGGACAGAGGATGTTAATTTTGGAAAAGTCCCACATGCATGCAGTTGCTTTTTTAAACACATAGGTAACATGAACCAAGTATTAAACACATGATATCTTTTTGTCACTTAAAAAAATTGGGGTAGCAGTTGATGCATTAAATGCATTCCCTGTTAGTGTTCTCAGAGTTGTACTCACATTGGCAGTCAACTGAGTTGTCAGAGCTGATACTTTTTCTTGGGATGCATCCAACTCTCTTCGTAGCTTGCGAATCTATATATTTTAAGAGAGCACTTTACTGCACCATAATATGGAGAAAGAAAACAGCAAGACACAAAATGCAGAGTGTCCTGATAGCACATTTATGACTGTCAAATGTGATGTGTCCTTACCTCTGACTGGCACTTCTCTTCAGGCTATAAAGTAAAAACAGAAGAAAATACATGAGGATATTATAACCAGCCTGAGAAACAGATAACATTTTTCTGGTTTTTTTTTTTTTTTTTTTTTTGGGTGTGTGTGTGTATTTGTTTGGGTTTTTTGCCTTTTAGCTTTTTAAAAATTACCTTTAAAGGAAGTTCTGGAAATAAAGTCTAAAGGCGAAAGTAGTTTGTTTACATGGCAGATTAGCAGCGCGCTGCAGATCAGCCTTCCCTTGCCGCCCTCCTGCCCCACCAGCGCGATCGGGTTTAAAGTGGAATCTCACCGGCCACGTGAAGTTAAAGGGCAACTTAATGGGGCTGTCAAATCTCTCTGTATCCTTGATGCTGAAGGAGTTTATTCCCAGAACCGGGGTGATGATGCTGCCGAAAGTGCAGGAGCCCGGAGAGACCACTGCCTGAAAATGCTTCAAACAAACGCGAAAGAAGGTCCTGCAGTGGGGGGAGCAGGGCTTCCCGCTGGCCAGGGACCCGTGGCTATTCACGAATTCGTGCAGCTCCAGCTGGAAGACGCCAGAGCCGGATACCCTCTGCACAAAGGGGAGACACACAAAATAGCCAAATCAGACCTTACCCCGGCTTTGCCATGCACACTTGCTTCCATCACCCGCTTTACATTTCGTAAACCCTTTATTTTTATCATTTTTATTTTCCGATGTGCGATTACCTGCTGCAAAATCATTAAGAGAAACGTCAAGCCAAAGATGCGCGAGGCTGTCATCCTTGTGTTATTCAAGCCTCCAGTTCTTAGTGGGTTTAGTTTTTTCCTCCTGTATTCCTCAAATGGTCCAAGCGGGCGCTTCTCGGCCGAGGGAGAAAAGAGAGGCGTCACGGCGACTTTCCTGCAGCAACCTGCTCTTCCAGATATCCCTCGAGCAGCAGCCGAAACAGGAAGGTTAAATCCAGGTGTCGATCCCTTCGCTTCTGGGAATTAATCCTGCAGCCAACCGCCGACCTCTGCTCGCTGTCGTCGCCTTTATAAACTCCAAAGCCGGGGAGGTTTGGTGAGAGCCGCGGAGGGGAGTGCTCAGCGTGGAACCGCTCCTCCTTCACCCGGTGCTACAGCGCCCAGTAAATGGAAAACTTGCTTCCCTTCGAGCTGTTTATATACTTGCCTCGCATCCTCACAAGCTCATTATGTAAACTGTCAGTCAGACTCACGGCCGATCCCTCCCCTTTTCCATCTTTCCTTTCTGGAAAAAAAAAAAAAAAAAGAACCAAATGTTGCGGAGAGCCCTCGTATCCAGAATTAATACCCTGCTGCTGGGGCCGCTGCCGCGCTGCCCGCCGCGGAGCCGAGCTGATTACGAACCAGCCAAGCATCTGTTGAGATATTTACGGCGCTCGCCCTGGGAGAGTTCCCTCCAAGATCAGACGCCTCTCCACAGAGCAGGCTTTCCAGAGCGGCCGAACAATAGAGGACGAAATGTTTAAAAGCCACTTTCTGTCGTTGTTTAGTTCCTTACTTCGCTTCTTTACCCTCCTATCACTATGTGTCTTCCCGTCCCCCCCCCCGCCCGCCCTGGCCCCGGAGCG